TCCTGCTGATGGAAGTCTTCAGGGGCACTTCTGGGCTACTGCTTCGCCCTCCTGAGCAGCTCTCCTCAGCTCTTCTAAGCCCCGCCCTTCTCTCTCTCCCGGAGGTGCTTCCCTCATGCTGAGCGTGCAGCTCCTTTTGTATGCTCCAGGACTCCACCCCTGAAGTCTTCCAGACCTGAGTGTTGCAGTCTTCAATCAGGTCCACAGCAGGGGTGCGCGGGGGGGGGGGGGGGGGGGGAGGGGACAACTCCTCTCTCCCCCCCCCCTCAGGAAAGGGGCGTGACTGAACTCCTCTGGCTGCCTCCTGATTGGGGGATGAGTTCAACCAATCAAAACAGCAAGATTTCAAGCCTGGGACTCAACCCAAGCTCCAAAACGCAAGCCTGCTACAACATTAATATTCTAGGATGCCTGTAGACATTTGGAAATGCTACTCCGATGCATTGTAATTACAGCACATTGGAGCAGGCTTGATTAATTGAGTCTGCTGGAGTAATTATAGGCCAGTAATTCTGGCAAGTAATAGTAGACCAGCCAGTCTCACCTCCATCCTTGGAAAGTTCTTTGAAAATATTATGAAGGATCATATTTGTGGAAGTCCAGCGGGAAAAACAATGCAACAGGGCAACCAGCATGTATTCATAGCAGGTAGATCATGCCTGACCAATCTGGTTTCATTTTATGACAGGGTCACAAAACGCTTAGACGCAGGAGTAGAGTGGATGTCATTTTCTTGGATTTTAGGAAGGCCTTCGATACGGTATCTCATCCTATTCTCACAAATAAATTAAAAGGCTGTGACACAGATGTTTACACAGTCCAATGGGTGGCAAATTGGCTTAGCAGTTGCACACAGGAGAGTGGTAATAGACAGGTCAGTATCGAACTGGAAGGATGTGGGTAGTGGGGTCCCGCAGGGTTCGGTCCTTGGACCTGTACTCTTCAATGTCTTCATCAGTGACTTGGATGTGGGTGTGAAGTGTACTCTGTCCAAGTTTGAGGACGATAATAAATTGTGGTGTGAAGTGCACAATCCAGAGGGTAGGGAACAATTGCAGACCCCTTTGATATCATTAGCTGGCCCTGGGATTCTGCCCTACGGTCTTTTCCTTTTGAAGCGAAGAGTGTTTTCCTTTGTTTCACAGCAAGCTGTCAGCTGAGAAACCTGATGCGTTCCCATTATGATTCTCGGTGGGGGGGGAAGTTTTCCCCTCTCCCTTTTACATTTCAGAACATAAGTTTTAATAAATAAACAAAACTGGTTTCCTGCTTGTTTGTCGAGTAACGCGGTGTTTGCCGCAACAGGCTGTAAGATACTGGGAAAGACTCTCTTAGCTCACTAGGAGAGGTGCAAGCACGGCAACCCGGGCCTTGTCGGCTAAGAGAGAGCTGCAGGGTTTTCTTAGTAACCTGAACTCTGTTACACTACTAGCTGATTAACGCTAATAATGATTTTGGCACATCCTTTTCCAAAATCCTCAAGGGCTTGTTGGAAAAATATCCCAAAGCCATAAAACCAAGGCCAGCTTCAACCAAGTAAGGTATTCCTCCCTGTTAGAAAGTGCAGGGGGCTTCAAACCCACTGCAAAAGACTTGGACTAGCTAAGGAGAGTGGAAGTCTGTGATTCAGTAGCATCTCATCATACCACCAGTCTCTGCACATCACGGTAAGGGTAGCCAAAATTTGGAATGGGCTCCCAAGGGAGGTGGTGCTCTCCCCTACCTTGGGGGTCTTTAAGGGAAGGCTGAATAGGCATCTGGCTGGGGTCGTCTGCCCCCAGCGCCTTTCCTGCCTAGGCAGGGGGTCGGACTCGATGATCTGTTGAGGTCCCTTCTGACCATAGTATCTATTAATCTGTATGCTAATTAGCATGCTCCAGCAGCCTCCGCCTTTCATGTATTCAGCAGCTCCATGCTTCAATGCTTCAAACTAGTTAAAGCACCCCCTCCATCTTTTTGAAGCACAGGATGCTGAATATATGAGATGCTGTAAGCTTCCATCTTATTAAAGCCCCCTCCCCCACCGCCACCTCCAGAACAAATGTAAAGATGCCACTAGTGGTTAGAGACAGAGTTTTGGTACCCAGGTCCCTTGCCTGAGCCGGGTTGGGTTCCAATGCAGAATTTGCAGATGAGTGCTGTAAACACGAGGCTATAAATCAGCCTGGGTGAGTGCGCCCCCTATCCCCCTACCCCTCAGAAAATGGCAGCTCTTAGCTCTCACTCATTTTTTACTACATAAAAATAATAGAGCATTTTTTTTGTTGCACAGAACTCAGAAAGACTACAACTATGGATTTCTATTTGAAATCTCTGGGTTTATCTTGGGAATCATATTTGCAAACCCAACATGCTAACCTTGTGTGGCATCCCATGACACCATTGACAGGATCTCAGGGCACCCCAAGATGGTGTGGCACTCTGGTTAAGAATTACTAGAGTACATATATTCTTCTGTAAGTAGGTCCTAGTCACCCACCCTTCCTTTTGGTCTCTTTGTGGTATTAGGTAATATAATGCAGTTCCAGTTTGAATATTGTTTTTCCATGTTTAGAAATCTTCTACCATGTTCTTTGTTGTTGTTTTCCTTGTCCTTAGGAAATACTATTTACAGTCAATATACTGTCAGGAAACATTTTTTATGCTGAGCTCTAGGTGTTCAGTAATTAAGCTATTACAATGCTGTGGCTGTGTAAAGCATAAAATTCCCTCTCTATTTTTATCACTGAATAATTACAAAATAAATACATAAAAGCTGCTGGTAATTAAAGTAACTT